TATATATTTTTCTCTGCTCCCTTCCCTTCTTTTCCCCTCTCCTTCTACCCTCTTCCATGCTCCCCTTGCTACCAATTTACTCAGGAGATCTTGTCTTTATCTACTTCCCATGTAGATTAGATCCATGTATGTCTCTCTTATGGTCCTCTTTGTTGTCTACGTTCTCTGGGATTTTGAATTGCAGGCTGGTTTTTCTTTTTTTTATGTCTAAGAGCCACTTACATGTGAGCACATATTATATTTGTCTTTCTGGATCTGGGTTACCTCACTCAATATGATGCTTTCTAGATCCATCCATTTACCTGTAAATTTCAAGATATCATTATTTTTTCTGTTATGTAGTACTACATTGTGTAAATGTACCACTACATGCCTACATAAAAAAGTTGGAAAAATTCTACACTGGAGAGTTAACACCTAAAAACTCTAGAACAAAAAGAAGTAGACTCACCCAGGAGGACTAGACAGCAAGAAATAATTAAAGTGAGAACAGAAACCAACAAAATAGAAACAAAGAGAACAATATAAAGAATCAATGAGACCAAGAGTTGGTTCTTCCAAAAAAAATCAACAAAATCAACAAACCTTTATCCAAAGTATCCAAAAGACAGAGAGAGAATATCCAAATTGACAAAATCAGGAATGAAAAGGGGGACATAACAACAGACACAGAGGAAATTCAGAGAATCGTCAGGTCATACTTCAAAAACCTGTACTCCACAAAATTGGAAAATTTAAAAGAAATGGACAATTTTCTGGATAAATATCACTTACCAAAATTAAATCAAGACCAGATAAACAAATTAAATAGACCTATAACTGCTAAAGAAATAGAAGCAATCATCAAAAGTCTCCCAACCAAAACAACCCAGCAGAATTTCAGTGCTGAATTCTACAAGATTTTCAAAGAAGAACTAATACCACTACTTCTCAAATTTTTCCACACAATAGAAAAAGAAGGAACATTGCCAAACTCTTTTTATGAAGCTATAATTACCCTGATACCCAAATCGCATAAAGACATTACTTATAAGGAGAATTACAGACCAATCTCACCCATAAACACTGATGCAAAAATACTCAATAAAATACTGACAAGCTGAGTCCAAAAATACACTAGAAAAACTATCCACCATGGTCAAGTTGGCTTCATCCCACAGATGCAGGGGTGGCTCAACATACAAAAATCTACCAATGTAATCCACCATATAAACAAACCGAAAAAAGCGCACATGATTATCTCATTAGATGCAAAAAAGCCTTTGACAAAACACAACATTCCTTCATTACAAAGGTCTTGAAGCCATCAGGGATATAAGGAACATACCTAAATATAATAAAGGCAATACACAGCAAGCCAACAGCCAACATCAAACTAAATGGAGAGAAACTCAAAGCAATCCCACTGAAATCAGAAACAAGACAAAGTTGTCCACTTTCTTCATATCTATTCAATATAGTACTTGAGGTTCTAGCTGGAGCAATAAGGCAATAACAAGAGATAAAGGGGATACAGGAAGCCTTCTTAAAGGAGCCGTGTCTCTATTGCTGGTCAGCAAACAGAGCCCCCCTAAGAAATTGCTGCTACCAAGAAGTCATGCTTAACTCTGTTCTTTCCTGTCTAAAGTTCCTTCCCAAGCTCTCTCAGGTTTTATGTGTAAATGGTTGCCCCAAGTTGGCACCATTTTGTAGACGGAGACTGCTTGTTCATTCCCTGCCACCCAGACCTGAATAAATCACACAGAAACTACATTGATTACAACACTGTTTGGCAAATTTCTAGCTAACTCTTATATCTTAAATTAACCCAGTTATATTATTCTGTGTATTGCCACAAGGCTCTGGTCTATGGGTAAGGTCCTGGCTAGTGGCTGGCAGTTGCTATCTTAGTTCTTTGGCAGCTTCATGGTATCTCCTTAACTCTACCTACTTTCTCTCTATATTTCTGTTTGAATTTCTCACCTGGCTTTACTCTATTAAGCCATTGGCTGAAATAGCTTCTTTAATAATTGATGGTAATAATGGTAATAGAACATATTCGTAGCATACAGAAGGGAATTCCACATCAGGACGCAGTCACTAAAACAAAATGACAATCTACGGAATGGGAAAAGATCTTTACTAACCCCACATCGGACAGAGAACTAATCTCCAAAACATATAAAGAACTAAAGAAATGAGACATCAAATTACCAAATAACCCAATCAAAAATGGGCTACAGGTCTAAACAGAGAATTCTCAACAATAGAATTGCAAATGACTAAAAGACAAATAAGGAATTGCTCAACATCCTTATCCATCAGGAAAACGCAAATCAAAATGACTTCAGTTAGAATGGCTAAGTTCAAAAACACCAATGGTAGCTTATGCTGGAGAGGATGTGGATTAAGGGGAACACTCCTCCATTGCCAGTGGGAGTGCAAACTTGTACAGCCACTTTGGAAATCAGTGTTGTGGTTTCTCAGAAAACTGGTAATCAATTTACCTCAGGACCCAGCAATACCACTCGTGGGCATAAACCCAAAGGATGCACACTCATACTACAAGGACATTTGTTCAACTGTGTTCATAGCAGAATTATTTATAATAGCCAGAAACTGGAATCAACCTAGATGCCCCTCAACCAAACAATGGATAAAGAAAATGTTGGACTTTTTTGACTCCCCATGGTAAACCTTACCCTTTCTGAGAAATGGATGGGAGTGGGGTGGGGGAGGCAGTAGGGTGGGAGGAAGGGAGGGAGTGGGAATGGGGATAGCTTTTATTTAAAAATTCCTAATAAAAAAGTAAACAAAAACAAAATCATCTTTATTATGTTGAGGCATGTATGTCCCTTGTATCCCCAATCTCTCCAGGACTTTTTATTATGAAGGTGTTGGATTTTGTCAAAGGTGTTTTCTACATGTAATGAGATGATTATGTAGTTTTATTTTTCAGTGTGTGTATATGATGGATTATAGTTATCTATTTACATATTTTGGACCATCCCTGCATCTCAGGGATGAGGTCTACTTGATCATGGTGGATGATACTTTTTCAATGTGTTCTTGGATTCAGTTTGCACACACTTTATTGAGAATTTTTGCTTGTGTGTTCATAAGGGAAATTGGTCTGTAATTATTTTTTCTTTATTGGGTCTTTACGTGGGTCTTTACAGGGTAACTATGGCCTTATAAACGGAACTCAGCAGTGTTACTTCTGTTCCCATCTTGTGGAATAATTTGAAGCACACTAACATTAATTCCTCTTGTAAAGTTTGGTAGAATTCTGCACTGAAGCCGTCTGGCCCTAGGCCTTTTTGGGTTATGAGACTTTTAATTACTGCTTTCATTTAACTAGCGGTTATATGCCTATTTATGTTGCTTATCTGATTTTGATTTACCTTTGGCAGGTGGTATAGATCAAGAAAATTATCCATTTCTTTTAGATTTTCCAATTTGGGTCCATTCTTTTTTAAAAGCTGTTATGTGCCTTTCCTCAAAGAAAAAAATTGCTTAATGTATTTCAAAATTTTATAATTCTTTCCTAAACCCTCATAGCATTGACATGGAAAGTATCAGTCATTTTTAATTGATGTGTTCTCCTAACGTGTCCAATTCTGAACCAATGTTTCCTTCATTTATCAGCTGTGACCCCATAGTAACCATATATTCTTAGAACACACCTGCAACAAATGCTGGGCAAGTCAAGGCACTCCAGTGGGAGGATTGGTGGAGCCTATGCGCTCATGTTCCCACCACATCCAGATTCCAAACTTCTGCTCTACAGCTGTAGAACAATGACCCTGTCAATGCTCTACCTGCTGGATGCATCAATCACCCAAACCTTCTAAGGAAAGAAGCCTGTGATTTGTGTAAATACAGAGATGAATATACTCTCCAGAGTCGAGGACGAGTGGCTCTGGTAACTGCAAGAACCTTGTTCTCATATTACCAGGGGCAGGTCAGTTGCCATTTTCTCACACTCAGAATTGTTGTTCCCTTTCTACCATGGTCAAATACATCCTTGCCTAAGAACCTCTGTTAGTGAAGTTTGGCTGCAGAATCACAGAAGTGTTCTTACCTTAATCTGTTTCAATTATTGTCTTGAAATTAACTTTGAGGTTATTGTAATAACATTCTATTTGTATAGACACGGGAGATTTAATTTTGGAGAATATGAAGACAGATTTGGTTGACAATAGCTGTGTTGCAGATGTTGAACTGGAAACCAACCCCTCATCCATAGGCCTTTGAAGCTTTAGCCTCTTCGTGATAATTTCTGCTGCTGAAAACTTCCTCACTGGAATCCTCCTTAAAACCTGGCTATAAGGGCATGTGGACATTAGGGTTTGTTCCTTGAAGCCATCTTCTTCTCAGATATCTCCTAGGTTGCCAGTTTAAAACCCCACTAGGAAAGGGGTCTATATATATATATATATAAAAAAACTGTCCTTTATTATTATTTACCATGGTGATACAAGAAGGTAGCTTCCTTAAATTTTGCAACTTTAAGTACGGAAATCCCACCTAGCCCCTAAATGTGACAGAGCTAAGAGGTCTCAGGAGTCAAAAGTTAATGATGCAGAATGTTATATTTTTATTGGAAAGAAAGTATAATAATGAATGTGAGATTTAGGATTCTCAAGACAAGCAAGTGTGAGAAAGAAGCATCATCCATGGAACTGCCTCTTGGACCACATGGGAGTTGCATGCTGAATACATCCCAGGCTTCAAATCTAGGTGATTTGACTCCTAGGGAGAGAGAAAGAACAATTTTAAATGTGGAGTTGGTGCAGAGTGGCTAGTGAGGGAGACCCACGTGTCTTTGCTTCTTCATTGTCAGTTGTTACTGCTACTTTTCATCTCCTCTGAGTCACAAACAGGGACTTTTTCCCTCTCATTTCTTTCTTTTATCAAGAGAGGAGAGGAATCTGTATCTTGAATGTACGGTGATCTAAAGACGCTCTTCATTATAAAACTTCCAACATGATAAGCAAAAAATTAACCTTTGACAAGTGAAATTGTAGGAATTGATAGGATTATAAATTTATAAATGAAGTGAACTTACAATTTTTTTTTTTACTTGTTGGATTGTGCAAGAGAAAACCATTGACAGTACGCACTAAGGGTAGGGATTCAGGAGACAGTCACAGCCCAGGTGCCTTTAAGCTCTGCTCTGCCAAGTGCTTTTCTCACCACAGCTCCACAGGTGTGCACAGTGGGGACCAGCCCCATAGAATGACCCAGGGAATGTCCATGCATAACTTCTAAACACTGCATAGGTATCTCTCTCACCAGAGAAAATACTCACCATCATATTGGTCCAGGCCCTCTGCTGGTCAGTGAATGTATTATTTAAGACATGTCTTGAGAAAACTGGCTCTTCTTTCTCTTTACAAATGAACTCTCACCTTCTGCATTAGAACCACTGGAATCCCCAGAGCTAACTTTACTTTTTTTATGACTTGATTCTTCATAGCTTTCCTCACTGGAAGAGGCGACCGCCTTGTCAAGGGAGTATGATGTAGAAGAACCCGATGCAGACCTCTTCTCCCCTGAGCCTGTTACATAGGTCTCACTGGTCGATTCTTCAGACTGACTGAATTTTTCTGATAAGAAAAGAAAAAACAGGTTTTATTCTCTACCTGTATCTTTCTATCTGTATCTGTCTTTCTGGGTTTGTTGTGAAGTGAGACACTGCAAACAACCTGTGGTTTTGCTCTGAGTGGTAAATCTGATTGCTCTGATTGGCTCTATCTGTGGTACACCTTGTCTTTTGTGTTGTCTAGAAACTCTTCGATCTTTTGTCTAGTTAGAAATAGGCTTGATCTACTTGGCAACTGTAGTGATACTTCATTTGTGTTTTAATAAAGAAACTTGTTCGAAGATCAGAGAGTAAAACAGCCCCACTGGTCAGTCTTACAGAGCAGGCAGCGGTGACATACACCTTTAATCCCAGCAGCCACACTAGCTTTCCATAGAAACTGGGTAGCAGTTGTGTACGCCTTTAATCCTAACACTAGAGACGATAATAAAGCAGGAAAGGACAACTCTCACTCACAGTTTCACCTGAGATTCCTAGAGGCAGGATTGTCATTTCAGACTGAGGTAGAGGTAAAAAGCCAGTGACTGGTTGTTGTGCTTTTCTGAACTTCAGGCAAGTTTTATTTATTAAAATACAAATAAAATATCACTACATTGGCAGCTGTCCTTGCTCCTCCCCTAATAATCGGCAATAAGAATCTTTGAGTTACATGGTCTCCAGTGTTCCCTTGCAATCCCTGCCACTGACTTTTTGAACATCAATTCATTGATATTCATGCAAGAGCTATGGAAGAAGATATGCAAGACTAGCTTCTCATCAGAATTGAGAGTCTTTGGAAAACAGCAGCCTTCAGATCCTAGGGGGTCCCTTTAAAAGAACATTGTCTTTGTTGCTTTTCCCCAAGGTCAATCCTTCCCACTTACGTTTGGTTTTCCTCCCAGTGGCTTCTGTCACCAGAAAGAGAAGCAATGTGAGGAGGAAGAAGCTGGCAGTCTTCATCTTGTCAGAAGAGACTTTGATTGAAAGTTGAGCTGCTCCTAATTTATATGTTTCCAAAGTGGGTGTACCTGGAGTTATAAAAGGCACAACCCTGCCTTACTTATCTGCTATGCAGGTGGTATTGTCAGTATTTCTTGGAATTCTATAAAAGTACATCATATCAGAGACCTTCTTCTTTACCTCCAACCCCAGCCAATCTTTATCAACACTTGTGATCATTACACACAGCTTCCTGCATTTCTGAAAGAAATTCAACCAGAACTGGAGAAGACAGTCTTTTCATGGTAGAAAGTATCCATACAATGATCAAACTTTGGGCAGTACAAGTATATGGCTCTCTCTATCCTCATCTATATTATATAACCTTGTGCTTATAATTTCTTCAAATTAACTTTGAATATATTGTACCTGAAAAATAATATAGAGGTGTAAAAGTCACAAAAAAGAATGGACACAAGAAATCCAACTGAAAAATTCAATGGGGAAGCTAAAAACTTCAATGAAAAGTCTCACCAACAGAATGGATCATGTCAGAAGCAGGATGTGTAGGATGAAAAACAAAGTAAAGGCATTGGATCATTTAGTAAAGAACAATGAGAATTTTTTTAAAAGAATACATAAATGGAACCATGGCAGAGTTTTTGAGGCACTGAGAAAAGATGTAACCTTTGAATTGTGGACATAGAGGAAGTATGAAAAATAACATAGCAAAGCATAGAGAATACATTCAGTAAAAATATAGAAAAAGATACTTTTACTAAAGAGATGCCAATTTTTGCACAAAAGGCTTACTGAACACCAAATAGGAAAGACATGGAAAAAGTTTCCGTGATATATTTAAAACATTAAAAACAGAGAATGAAGGGTTTTAAAACTAACATAAATGTCAAGTCACAAAAGACAGGCCAGCTAGAAAAACATGATGATTCAACAGGAATCTTTAGAGCTAGAAGGGTCAAGAAAGATACATTCCAAGTCCTGAAAGATCACAACTGTCAACCAGACTACTACACTCAGCAAAACTATATATTAAAGTTGAAGGAGAAATAAAAATATTCCATAATAAAAACAGGGTAAAGGAATTTATGACCACTAAGCCAGATCTACAAGAAGATACTGGAAGGAATTCTCTGGTCTGAAGAGAAAACTGAACACAACATGAAGGTACAGTGAACAAATAAACAACTGTAGAATGTTTAACCAAAAGAGGATAAAAAAAGACCATAGGATCAACAAAATGAAAGGAATTGATACATGCCTTTCAATAATAACTCAAGACTGTTAATGATCTCTGTGGTAGTTTGAAAGCAAATGGCCTCCAAAGAGAATGGCACTATTAGGAGGCATGGGCTTTATGAGAGTAGGTATGGTCTTATTGGAGGAAGTGTGTCACTATGGAGGCAGATTTTGAATTCTCATATGCTCAAGTTACCGCCCAGTGTTAACAGTCTACTTCCTGTTGCCTTCTGATCAAGATGTAGCCATTACCATGTCTGTCTGCATGCTGCCATGCTCTCTGCCATAATAAACCTCTGAAACTGTAAGCTACCACCTCAATTAAATGTTTTTCTTTATAAAAGTTGCCAAGGTCATGTTATCTCTTCACAGCAATAAAAACCCTAACTAAGACAGTCTCCATTCCTCAAACAAGACAAAGACAAAAATCAGATTGAATTAGAAAACAAGATCTGTCTTTTTGTTGCCACCAAGAAATATACCTCACCATAAAAGACAAATACCTTCTTAGGGTTAAAGTATGAAAAATATATTCCAAGCAAATGTAACTGAGAAACAAGCAGTACAGCTATTCTAATAGCTAACAAAATAGACTTCACACTAAAACTAATCAGAAGAGATAAAGAAGAACACTTTCAACACCTTAAAGAAAAAAGTAATCAACAGAACATTACAATTCTAAACATATACTTACCAAACACATGCACACAATTTCAGAAAATGGACATTAGCTCTGAAACTCACAGATAGACCCAACACAGTGATGCTAGGTTATTTCAATACCTCATCTTACCAATAGACAGGTCATGATATTTGCATGAGCAAAGAATCTATTTTTAATAAAAGGAAAAAATGAAAAAAATCTATATTTTACCATATTGGAAAGTCTACAGGGAACATATTAATATCTAGGGATATATATCCTACAAAAGACAAATCGACACAAAATAGATCATTTAAAATGATTCGTAACATCCAATGAGATAGTAGTGATTAAAAATCTTGTGACTCAGAACAACCCAGGGCCAGATGGATTCAGCACAGAATTCTACCAGACCTTCAAAGAAGAGTCAATACCAATATTTCTCAAATTCCAAAAAAATTAAAAATGAGGAGACATTTCATTTATTCTTCTCTCATATATTACATTCTGATCACAGTTTTTCCTCCCTACTCTTCTTCTTATCCCTCCCCTGAACTACCTCCCCTCTTACTCAGACCCACTCCTCCTCTGTTTCACTTCAGAAGAGGGCAGGCCTCCCAGAAATATCAACCAAACATGAAAGCATACAGTAAGCCTACAGCCAGTATCTTCCTAAACAGAGAAAAACTCAAAGCATTTCCACTAAAATTAGGAACAGGACATGTATGCCAACTCTGTCCATTCCTGTTCAATATAGTGCTTGATGGCCTGGCTAGAGCAATAAGACAAGAAAAGGCAATGGAACTGATGTAAATGAGAAAGGAAGAAGTCAAAGTATCTTTATTTGCAGATTATTTGATTCTACATGTAAAAAACTCTGGATTCCCCCAAACTCCCACAGTTAATAAACACATTTAACAAAGTAGGAGGATACAAAATTAATACACAAAATCAGTAGCTTTCTTATATACAAATGATCAAGAAAGAAATTAGGAAAATGATGCCATTTAGAGTAGTCTCAAAAGTACGGTAAAATAGTGCTGGAGAGATGGCTCAGAGGTTAAGAGCACTGGTTGCTCTTCCAGAGGTCCTCAGTTCAATTCCCAGCAACCACATGGTGGCTCACAACCATTTACAGTGAGGTCTGGTGCCATTTTCTGGTATACAGGCACTTTAAATCTTTTAAAGAATATTATGAAATGAACTAACCAAGGAAGTGAAAGACTTGTACAATGAAAACTATAAAACACTGATAAAAGAAATTAAAGAAGATATGAGAAGATGAAAACATCTCTTGTGCTCATGGGTTGGTAGGAATAATAAAAAATAGCCATCTTAGCAAAAGGCAACCTATAGATTCAATGCAATTCCCATCCAAATTCAACAAATTTTTACATAAATTTAAGAAATAATTTTAAGTTTCTTAAGGAAGCACAGAAGACCTAGGGCAGTCAAAATAATCCTGAACAACAAGTGCTGAAGGACTTGCCATCCCAGACTTCAAGCTCTTTTATGGAGCTATAGTAATAAAAACAGCATTGTGCTGACATAGGAACAGACATATTTATCAATAGAATAAAGGGTTGAGGACCAACATCTAAGCCCACACTTCTACAGTCGTCTGATTCTTTACGGAGACTAACAATACACATTTGAGAAAAAGATGGCATCTTCAACAAATGATGCTAGTGAAACTGGATGTCTAAATGCATAAGAAGGAAAGTAGAGCTTTGCCTTTCTCCTTACAAAAAAAATTAACTCCAAATAAAAAACCTCAACACAAGAACTGGTACCCTGGCCAACCACTGGCCTGAGCTCTGAGAGTCCAGTCAAAGAGAAGGAAGAGGAATATATGAGCAATGGGGGTCAAGATCATGAAGGAGAAACCCACAGAGACAGCTGAACCAAGTTCCTGGGACGTCACAGACTCTGGACCGACAGCTGTGGAGCCTGCACGGGACTGAACGAGGCCCTCTGCATGTGGGTGACAGTTGTGTGGCTTGGTCTGTTTGTGGGGCCCCTGGCAGTGGGACCAGGATCTATCCCTGGTGCATGAGCTGGCTTTGTGGAGCTCATTCCCTATGGTGGGATGTCTTGCTCTGCCTTGATGCAGGGTGAGAGGCTTGGTCCTGTCTCAACTTGATGTGCTAGGCTTTGTTGGCTCCCCATGGGAGGCCTTACCCTTTCTGGGGAGTGGATGGAAGTGTGGGGGGAGTTGAGGTGGGGAGTAGAAGGAAGGGAGTGAGGGGGAACTGTGGTTGGTATGTAAAATGAATAATAAAAATGAACTGTACTCAGAATCTGATAAAGGAGAAAGTAGGGGATACTTTTTATCTTAAAGGCATAGGAAAAGACTTTCTGTTTAGGATCCCAGAAGTGCAGGCATTAACATATGGAAAGTATTAATAATTATAATTATCAACTGTAACAATGAATTATTAATAAATGGATTGCAATTAATAAATGGGACTTCACGAAGCTATAAAGCTTCTTTGCAGTAAATGGCATCATGACTTTGCTGAAGAAGCAGCCTACAGAACAGGGAAAAGCATACCAGATACACATCTGACATAAGGTCAGTGCCCGCAACAGACAAAGAGCTAACAAACTAAACACTAATAAAAACAGGCCCAGAAAGACAAATTTCACATTTTCTCTCATTTTCAAAAGTTAGCTTTGAATCTTGAGATATCTGTGTCCCATTTGGAATAGCAGCAGAGGTTAGGAAATTATTAAGGCACCATGGAGGGGACTTCAAAGGGAGGGAGGTAGAACTAAGTGGTGGAAACATTAAAGAAGGAGCAAGCAGGAGAGTCTAGATGTGTGTGGGTGGAAGGGCAAGGTATGGGGGGAATAGCACAGATGGGTCACTAACACAAAAGATCTCTCAAAAAGTCATGTGGAAGCCTACTACTGTAGAAGCTTCCTAAAATACACGCATACACATATATAAAAAGAGTTTAAATGGAGTTACCCTGTAATAGAGCAATGATGTCCCTACTAGACGCCACAGAGTAACAAATCAAAAGCCAGTGTTAGGAATGTTTAGCTCTATAGCAATTGTTAGTCACTGAGGCTTCCTAGCTCCCCAAACAATACAGACACGTGCCAATGTTCTGTTACCTCCAAAACTAGACATAAGACCCTAGTGCTGAAGATACCATATACTTGAATCACAGACCATGTGCC